TCTGTAATGGAATACATTTTAAAAGTAACCTTCCCAACACTGCTTGTAGGGACAGAATTGGACTTTTATACTAACCCAATATTTGAAAAAGTATCGCCTGATGCCAGCTACTAATGTCTCGAGCCACTCACCATTTCTTATATTTAGCCTGGGAAATGGTAAACAGGTTCGGTGAATTATCCTAATGTGTAAATATACATGCAAATATACTATAGAAGGCAAAAGCTGTTTTTCTAACAAGGCTTAAAATAAATATTTGTCTGTCGCGCAGCCTGAATGCTCCTAGTCATTTTTTTCTTCTTCTTCAGGACATTGAAAGCTCTTCTTTGGATGCTGGTGGACTTTTGTTCTGTTCTCTGCCGAGACGACTCCACGCCGCTTCATTAATGTTGAGCTCCGGGCTTCTGAGGAGGCCAATTGATGACTGACAGTTTTCTACTTGTGTTTTTCTAGGTATGCTTTTACTGCTTTGGCAGTGTGTTTTGGATTACTGCCACAATGACAATGAAGATTTGCCAATTAGATCTTGGATGTAAGCATCTGACCGGTACAGTCATGGTGGATCAAAATCTGATGGTGCTTTTATGTTTTCATAATTCTATAAATTTGATAAGAACTCCGACACCACTGGCTGAAAATGCAGCCCCGAATCATGACCGTGTTTTACAGACGGCTGCAGACACTCACTGCTCCTCTATATGTATTGTTTATGTTTTAAACCACAAATTTCCCACTTTTTATTCATTTCCCTCCTCGTTTCCCTTTCATCAGAACGGTTTCTTCACATCCACCCTTCAACTGCAAGCATTTCTGATTTTTGAAGTGAACAATAGATGGATCAGCTAAAGGGCCAGATCTCTTCCTGTGTCAGGTCTTTGCTGACTACTATTCCTATTGAATAGTATTTTTGTCCTATATGAATAGTATCTGCAAGGACATAACTTGCAGATACATAATGTACATTTCAGAATTATACAAAAAGGCCTTTTTCAGGGAAAACAAAATGGGTTGACAATATAAAACTGTTCTGCAGCAATGAAGGTTGATCAAGCCTTGAAAGCTGGTGCTACTAATTCCTACAGGTGCTTCAACTTTTCTGGAATACTTACAACCCCCTCTGTCTGCATAAAAACACATAAAAGTTGGAGCACACTGTGGTACCATACCCTAGTGAGCATCAGTTGAACACTATTGCACTGCAGAATGAATTGTATTGATATAAAATGGTTGGAAAAAAAATCAATTAACAGTGGAAGAGAGACAGACCATCATAACACATAAAATGTAGGTCTTTTCTACAGAGAAATTGCAAAGAAATTCAAGGTGTCAGTGAGTACAGTTCCTTCACCATCAAACGGCACTCGGAAACTGGGAAACTCTGACAAGAAGAGGTCTGGCAGACCCAAAGCCACAACTGAATCAGAGGACAAGTTTCTAAGAGTTAACAGCTTGTGTGATAGGCGGCTCACAGGACAAGAGCTTCAAGCACAGCTTCATAGTGGTCATAGTAGCAAGTCTCAGTTTCAACTATGAAGCCTTCGAGCTGCAGGTTTGACAGGACGAGTCGCAGCAAGAAAGCCTTTGTTAAGATGTCAGAATAAGACTTGGCTTGCCTGGGCCATGAAACAACACCATTGGACTACTGAAGACTGGAAGAAGGTGTTATGGATGATTCAAAATCCTCGGTTCATCACACAGGATCTTTGTAAGCCGTCGAGTAGGTGAAAGGATGGTTCCACAGTGTGTGGCATCAGTGTGATGGTCTGAGACTTTTTGCTGGATCCAGGGTCGGTGACTTGTACAGAGTGAGAGGCAGCCTGAACCAAAGCGGCTACCACAGCATTCTGCAGCATCCTGCAGTACCCTCTATGCACCTAGTTGGTCAGGGGTTCATCCTACAGCAAGATAATGACCCAAAACACGAGTCCAGCTATGACAGAACTACCTCAGGAAAAAAGAACAAGATGCTAAGCTTGAAAACATGGAGTGGTCAGCACAGGCTCCAGACTTAAACCACATCAAGCTGGTTTGGGATGAACTGGACAGAAGAGTGAAAGCAAAGCAACCTACAAGTGCCACATTTATGGGAACTTCTGCAGCAGATATGGAAGAACTTTCTGAAGAACATTTGACTTCTATTGTAGAAAGAATGCCACGGGTGTGTTCAGCTGTTATATCTGCCAAAGGCTACTTTGATGAGTCAAAGGTTTAGAATCTATATAGAAACTATAAATTGATTCCATGATTTATTTATTTTTTTTAACTCCAATTGCTTATTTGTAGTATACTTTCATTTCAATATATACCCGTAGTGTATATATATGTGCCAACTTACACCTTCTTTATTCCATTTTTCACAGTCTCAGCTAAAGAAATGGGGAAAAAATATGTGTTTCTGCAGTATAGGCTGCTAGTAACAAAGTAATTAAAGAAAAAATGATAAGAAAGTCTGACTCCTTGGATGCAAAGACAGCTGGGATAGGCTCCAGCCCCCCCTGGGACCCTAATAAGGATAAGTGGCAGAGAATGGATGGATGGATGTGGCTTGAGACTTTTGCACAATAATCAATATGTTTCTTGAAAGACAGGTGGCCTCATAATGAAGATTTCTGCACGTTTGGGTGGAGTATTAAATATGCGTCTCCACTATGAATCCGGCACTAAATCCAATTATTCATTGTTATGTCTTTTATCAACAATGACGTTTAAGAAGCTCTACACACTATTTTTGAAGAGTTTCTAGTGTTCCTAAAATAGACTTTCATGAATTAATTCTTCCAGCAGTTTGTAGTGGCATTAATAAAGCACCTTTTCAACTGTTCACATAACTCTGGTTTGATTCCAGCCTTTGATGGCTCTGCCAGGTTTTGGGCCATGATTCCCCCGAGCTATTCCAGTATTCCTTGATCTGTTTCCTCAAGAGACAGAAATCTAAAGCCCCTTCCTGGCCCGCTGCAGTCTCCATCATACATCAGAAGTAGAAATTAAACCAGTGGATGTCTGATTCATACAATCAGGTGATGAGAAATTCTGCGTCACAGTGGCAGTGAGGAGCTCTGCTCTGTAGACCAGCATTTTACTTGGAGTGCTGTTGAAATTCCAGTGCCAGCACAGGCCTGCTACTCTTTCAAAGTGCTCAGGCTTCTGGGACATTTGTGGGACTGATCTCAACATATCACACTTGTGCTGCAAATGAATTGCTCCCTTAGGTCTCCAAAACTGTCAGCAACTCACTTTGTATGAGCGCTTCATTCATCAACACATTTTTTACCCTGAGAGCAGCAACTTTTGAAAAAAAAAAGGGAGTCGAAATGAAGCAAAACTTCTTTTTTTTAAAATTCCTGATTCGTCCTTTTCGCTTTGTTGAATATGCACACAGGGCTGTGAAGTATTTGTGCAACGAAATTAGGGCCTGTTTGGCTGTGACATTTCTCAGATCAGGTAATTTAAGTGTTAGCACTTCTAGAAGCTAGTTTCATCTTGGAAAAAAAAAGCAGAAACAAAAAGCAGTGTACATAAAGAAGAACGATCCCCATATACAGATTTCAATTACACTGATAAAATTTAAAGATGTTCATTGCATTTCAGTTTCTTCCAAAACTGGCACGACTGAAAAGGCTTTTCTCTGACTCCTGTGGAAGGGGCCCTTTGAAGAAAACAAGATACTCAGTGCAGTCTGAGATAAATGTCTGATTAAAAAGATATCAGGCACAGGAAACATATTAATCTATTATATAAAAATGGGTAACCAAAAGTTTAATCTAAAATCTGTGAAGTCACCCTTGAATACATGTTTTGTTGCGGCTAACACGGCGGACATCACCAGAAAACTGCACAGTAAAGTTTTTAGCAGGGTATGAAACTATA